TGTGTGTGTGTGTGTGTGTAAAAAAATATATAGAAAATAGGAAAGAACTCGTTAGGTAAATAATCCAAAGTATTTTTGTTATTATTTTTAAAAAATAGTGCTCGATACAAAAGTAGAGCATAATATAATTATTTATTTAAAATATGATTCCAACGCTACATGAGAACTCTTATGTAGCGTTGGAATCATATTTTAAATAAATAATTATATATATATATATATATATATATATATATATATATATATATATATATAAGAAAAAGAAGTTGCAACTGGAGTCTTTCAGAATATTTATTTACAGTAACTTTCCAGGGTTCTCAGCTCTATGATTTTCAGAAGTTAAAATCAGATGGGAGAGTGTGGCTATGCCACGATATCTCTCGCATCTGACTGGAGCTGAAGAATTATTTCCCTTTTTATCTAAACAAAAGGTGTCTGTGAACGCTTTCTCTTTAAGGGCAATCTGATTGGTTGACTATGATCACTTAATCAGGCATAGTATTGATATCATAAAAATTTGTCAAAAATTGAGCCAAGGTTCAGTAAGCCTGACTAATGAAAACAAATATATATATATATATATATATATATATATATATATAGCATTATGGGCATTATGGGTAATAAAGTCTATTGCGTTGTCCTGGCTTTTGTATGTAGCTCTTTATATATATATATATATATATATATATATATATATATATATATATATATATATATATATATATATATATATATCGCATTTATAAATGTGGCTGTTTATTATTAAATACAGTGTGGGAAACAAATTTTCGTACACATACAAATTTTAATTTATCGTGTTTCCAACTAATGAATAAATACACTTTTCATGTAATTATCTGTACAGACATGCATAATAACTAAATATACATAGAATATTTATCCATTTTAATGAGTGAAAAAGTATTCGTACAATCCAAATTTCTGATTTTAAAACTTTTAAATTACTTCAATACATTAAAGTGGAATATTCTAGAATGTCCCAATAATGCTATTGGTAGCTACTTTACCCTAAAAAATACAGACAGAACATTCTGTAATTGATATTCGTGCAAGAAAGTTATCATCATGGCAACAGTTAATGAATTGACCAATTCGCAAAAAGAATTGATTGTTATTCTCTGGAAAGAATGTAAAAGTTACAGGAAAATCTCAGACAACGCGAATATTCCATGTACTACCATTAGTTCATTCACTGCAAGGTATAAAAAAACTCAAAACTGTTTAAAATCTAAGAACAGTTGCTCCACGAAGATTTCTTCAAGATCTTCGAGGAAATTAATGTGTCAAATTTAACAAAATCTAATCGTTACTCGTCAAGAGTTGTAAGATGATTTGTTTTCATTAAGAATCTGTGTCACTAAACGGACAGTAAGCAATGAAATCCATAAAAACAATCTAAAATCCCGCTCCCCTCGGAAAACACCACTGCTTTTGAAAAGACACAGAGGTTCCAGATTGAAATTCGTTCGTGACCATAAGGATAAAAAAATCATATTGGGACAGACGGAACATCGTATTCTGGACAGACGAAACCGAAATTGAGTTGTTTGGACGTAAATCTAGAAATCAAGTCTGGAGGAAAGATGGCGATGCGTTCAAACAAAAAGAAAACAGTTCCAACAGTGAAATTTGGTGGTGGCAGCATCATGATTTGGGGATGGGTTTTTTTTCTGCAAAAGGTACTGACAACATATCAATAATAGATGTGAGAATGAATGCCGCAGCATATCAAAATATTTCGGAAGCAAATTAATGATTTCGGTTGAAAATCTTGAAATTCCTCCTTATTGGATCTTCCAGCAAAGTAATGACCATAAACACACTACAAAATCTACGAAGAAATGGCTTGCTGAAAATGAAATATAAATATCTTGAAATGGCCAACCCAGTCAGCAGATTTAAAACTAATCGAGTATCTGTTCCGTTATTTGAAAATTCAAATCCACTCGAGAGCTCTAACAATCATCCCGGATCTGAAGACCATATGCGAAGAAGAATGGAACGAAATGCCAATTGAATTTTCAAATTTGCGAACTACAAGAGGATGGTGACTGTAGAAGTGAATAATGGCTATTCTAGAAACTATTAAATGAAGATTATGTATTCTTCTTTTTGTATGGTACGAATAGTTTTTTGCCCATTAAAATGAATAAATGGGATTTATTTCTATCAAATTCTGTTTCCTATGTATATTTACTTATTATGCATCTGTGTCCATTTAATTATATGAAAAGTATGTTTATTCATTAGTTGGAAATACAATAAATTAAAAATTTGTACGTGTACGAATATTTGTTTGCCCCACTGTATGCATATATATATATCTGTGTGTATGTATATTATTTATCATTATGTATATATTTTAGATATACATATATCTTTATATACACACATACATATATATATATATATATATATATATATATATATATATATATATATATATATATATATATATATATATATATATATATTGTATATAATTGGTATAACGGAATGAATTCCAATAACTGGATTTCTTTTTATCCTGTTTTTCTTTGCCAAATATATAATGAAACTATTATCAACTTATATGATTAATAATATATATATTTTTATTGATATTTATGGTTTTAGAATTTTCGTTTTAATATATTAAATAATATTATTTTAAACATTTTTATCTTTGTATATTTGCTCCCTTAAGTTATAATTCAATAAGTGGTTAGCATTTATTTAAGTCTGAAATATTTACTGGTTGTGATTTCTCAATGTCTATGCCATTGTCTGTGGATGTATGTATGTGTATATATCGGTGTCTATGTGTATGTAGAGTGTATTCACATTTATCTGTGTGTGTATAAGTGTTAGTTTCACGTCTCCTTTTTTTCATAAATGGCTGTAGAGTTGTTCATTTATCCCCCCACCTCTCCTTTTTTTTTTTGTGTGTGTGTGTATGTTTGTGTGTGTGTGTGTGTGTGTGTGTTGTGTCTGGATGTGTGTGTGTGTTATAATCTGATTGTGTTTTGTTGTGTTATAATCTGATTGAGTTTTTTAAGACCATATTCACAAACTTTAAAATAAAAACGGAAAAGAAAGGGAAAAGAGAAAAATATATATACATGTATTATCAAATGACCGGATGTATTATAGCGTCTTGTCTTGTCGAACGTAATTTCAATGAAGAAATAAATTGAATAAACATATATATTTTTTTTCTCAATAATTTTGTAGTTTTTAAACTTAATAGTGATTAAATTTGGATTTTAAAAATTGCCAGTTTTTAATTTTAATATTAAATTTTATCATGTAAATTTATAATTATTAGTTAGTATAAATTAATTTTAATATTACACGTATTTAAAGATCTGAATAGCTATTAGAGCAGGATTTCGTTGTCAAGCTTTTGAATCTTTCTATACTTCGTTTTTGATTGGTTATTCTAGCTTTTGTAACAATGTTTCCCCCTAGTGTAGGATCGTTAATTAATCTGAAACTTTTAAAACCATTTATTTTATTTTCAACATCATCACTTGATAAGACACAGAGTGTGTTGAAACAAAATGGCTATTTTGTAGTGATTTTATAACATATGTTTATTTTTTTTATAAAAAATTTTATATATATATATATATATATATATATATATATATATATATATATATATATATATGCACTTGGTGATTGAAAAGTAACTCCCTATTTTTGTATGGTGCGGTCTCTCGTCTTGTAAAAATTATAATTAGACAGGGTGTACATCATGAATAAAATAAGGAATTACTTTTCAATTATCCTGTAGATCCTTTATGACTCTGAATGTGGCTCTTTACACACACACACATAGAGACACACACACAGAGACACACACGCATACACACACACACACACACACATATATATATATATATATCCTTTGTGACACTGAATCATGTATCCGCTACCAGGACCATATTCGTTAGGTTGATGTTTTCTATAAGCAGTACCAATACACAACCCTGAAAGATAAAATCTTTAATATTTGTCTATATTTCTGAGATGTGGTATTATGTACACTATTTACATTATTCGGACTATTGTCTTCATCTTTGTCGCCATATTTATTACAACGTTTCGGCCGGAAACGGTTCGACATTCCAACTACCTGAAGAAGGCGGGAGCGTACAACGGCCGAAACGTTGTAATAAATATGGCGAGAAAGATGAATACAATAGACCGAATAATGAAAATCTTTAATATTAGTCTGTTTTCAAAGGGCGGAATCCTAAGTAGTAGAGACATTTCTAATGCAGTAACAACATTCTTGTTTTCCCTTTACTAGCCAGTAAACAGACGATAGTGGAACTGAGCCTATGCTGATGATATAGCAGTTCACAGATGGTGTAAGAATCGCTCTTGAACAAAAATAACCAACAATCTAATACTAATTCTTTCAAAAAGTACAACTTTGGTAAACCTTTCCAAAGTAGCAACTATAATCTGGAATTCGAATTAGAGCTTCGATGGCACTTACTATGAATCCTTCCTGGAAAGTCAAGATGTGAAATTGATAAATACTAAACATTTTAAATACGTCCTAGTGTGGATCATTTATGAGAAATTTAGTATAAGAGATAAGGAAATTAAACGTTGTCTAGATTGCGCAAGGGGTATTTTGTCCAACACTGTAGATGAGACAAAACTGAATTATATACCTGAAAACTAGAGTCATGTTTTTAAATAGTGATTCTTTTAGCGGCATATCAACATCTCTATGGTTTATTTAATTCTGAAATCTAAATATTTTGTGCGCAATTCTATTTTTTCTTTAGAGATAATAATGGTTTCAGTGGCACAAGTGTTACTAATTAACTCATAGCTGGCGAGAAAAGAGGTGGATTCATACCTTTCCAAAGGGCATTTGCACGTAAGTGCATATAACGAATCCGACCGCAATTGTAACTCGGCTCTCCGGGTAAAAATTCAGAGAAATTATCCATTACACCATTCGCATATCCCAGCTTACACCACCTGGTATTCCAAGCGGTCACCCCTTTAGGTACTGGCCATGTTCAACGTTACTTAACTTCGGTGATCGTACGGGAACCAGTGCTTCAACGTGATACAGCTGTAAACCAAACGGTCTCGTTTGAAGTAGATTTTTCTATAGATGTAACAAACTGTCCCAAATAACAACTTGAACAATTCCAATAGCAAGAACAACAATAGAGAGTACTTGTAACTAGAAAAGAAAACTTCCCTTCACGTTTACCGCTGGTGGCCCACTGTCGGTTCGCCGGTGTGTTCGTCTCGGCAATGCTACCACTACCGCTAAAGGCCCATCGGTGGCCGACCGGTGGCTACCACCAAAGGACTGCTGACGTTGCCATCGGCGGCAGGCAAGCGGGCGACTGGCGGCTTGCGTGTAGGGAGATAATTAATTTTTTAACTTTCCACATTACCAAAAGCAAAAGTTTTAGAAGAAAACTCCCATCAATACTAGAAAGAGTTATAACAGTTTCTTTTGTGAAGGTTTCTAATAAACAGATTTTATAAATTTCAACTGACAGTAACACTACCTGTTTGCTTATTAAATGCCCATTTTCCTTATGGAAACGGGTCATTTCACATCACTATTTACGTGGTTTATTCTTTGATGGAAATAATTTAAATGTTGTAATATTACATAAATATTAATAAATATTATCGTCACTTAGTTTAAAAACCGCAACCGGAACTCATTTTTTACACTTTAAATGAAACAAGTGCACAAGATGATGAGTGTACTCGGGTCGGAGTCGCGATCCGTCTTGGAGTCAAATTATGTGAGCGTCACAGATGCAGATGTGGAGCTTCCATTGATGAGTTTGGTTTGCATCCTCTCTCCTGTCGTCGTAGTGCCGGCCGCTTTCCACAGCATGCTGCCACTAACGACATCATCAAAAGAGGTTTGGATGCAGCTGGGTTCCATTCCCAAATCGAACCCGTAGGCCTTAACAGTGGTGATGAAAAGCGGCCGGATAGCATTACCATTTTCTCTCTTAAAATGGTCGTTGATTTGGGATGCGACTTGTACGGATACATTTTCGACCGGCAATTTGATCAGGTCCGCGGTTGAGCCGGGGTCCGTCGCCCGGGACGCAGAGATAAAAAAAAAAAAACATAGTTAAATATTCTTCTCTTGCTGATAGATTTTTTTTTTTTTGGCACTTTTTCGATGGCGTTCCATCGGAGGATTGGCGCGATGGCGTCTCAATTAAAGGATGAGCCTCGCAAAACAGAGTGGCTCTTGCAGCGTGTCTCACTGGCAATGGTTCGAAGTAATGCTTTCTCCATCATTGCGGCTGGCAGAGGATAGCAAAAAAAAGTTGTTTATAGTTACTTTGTTCAAACTTTTTTTTTTATCTCAAATGAAACTTGTTATAAATTCTATTAAAATTGACGTAACTGTAATGAAAAAAATGTCGTTTTTCATGAGACTCAAGGACAAAAAACAATATAACAGCTTAAGATTGAGTGATCGTAGAGAGTAAAAGCTTTTACAGTTGGATCTTTGAAAAGTAGTTCTAATGAGGACCAATAAAAAAAAAAATAACCGCTGTCGATATAAGAGATGACCTGACCCCCAAATCAGATTTGAAAATAAGTGTAGCCATCTTAAAAATTGCCGGAAGCAATCTGGCCTCATATAATACAAGCCCGAATATGCTAGTGTCCAGGCAAATTGCCCAATGAGGTTAAAGATGTGGCGATAATTCATATAAATAATCGAAATTTAACATCTTTGGCTCTATGGCCATTTTGCATTAGAAAAGTTGGAAAAGTGTATCACACGACGCAATGCATTAGATCGAATATTAAAAGAAATGGTTAGTAATGGTTTGGTTTTTTTCGTGTGGAAACGATGTCCTTGTGTTGTATTCGATTAAGAAAATTATGAGTAGTAACTTTCATCTATAATTATTAAATGAGTTTGCTACCATATACCCAAAATTGTATGGATCTTCAACACAACAAACTAAAGCATATTAGTCAAAAGATTTTATCCAAGAAAATAACAATGAAAAGTAGCAGTGGTCACCAGCGAAGTTGGTAAGAAAAATATTTCCTAAGAAATGATATGATAAAATATTGAAAAACGTTCCATTGCAAGCAGTAAGGATTCGGATACTTGTAGATATGATACTGCATTAAATAATTCCAGCTACTCTATTATGTTTTAAAAGCGAGAAAAACATTTATACTTAAAATGAGAAAGAGGCAGCTGAAATTTATGCGACACATTAGGACGACTTCGAAAATTTAATACCAACAGGACGTATTGAGCAAAGGCGAGGGAGAGGAAAATAGTGAGCAAATAATCTAATGAGTTTGTGCGAATGGATGGCAGAGAATGAACAAAGTAAAGCGTAAGACGTTGCCTAAAGCTACAGGAACAGAAAGTTGTGGAGAGCCATGACCCACCACGTCCTAAACAGATAGAGTATATAAATGTTTATCCATAGATGAAAATAAGTAATATCCAAGAACAACTTTTGTTACATTAGATTTTAATTGCAATATTCCCCCAATCACCGAACAGACACTAGACTTTTACTAAACATCACAAAATAGTTGTTCTCCCAATGATGTTCTTTGCCATGAATGCCTATAAGGGACTCAAGTTCACACCACGACCGCAAGTAGAATCCATCGCTAAAAATGCTGTAAAAATGATTTGTTCCGTGTAACGTTCTAGTAACTAACAGATTCCTACTGCTTTACAAGAAACTGATCAGATCAAAAAAAAAGTATCTCTCTATATTTCTAAGATGAGGTATTATGTACATTATTTACATTATTCGGACAGTTTTCCCCATCTTTTTCGCCATATTTATCACAACGTTTCGGCCGTTGTACGCTCCGGCCTTCTACAGGTAATTGGAATGTTGAACTGAACCCTTTATTTCGCTCACTGGGGTAGACTGTTCTAGTTCCACGTGCCATGGATGTCAGTTATTAGTTATCTCCTGTTAATTTCCCTCTGAAAGTTCTCCACTGACTTAACCGTGTATTGAACTCACACTTTGGGTCTTGTCACTGGATCTAACCAACGCCTTTATCCACTGTGGCATGTGTCCTTGAGGACATCTGGGTATGAATTTCTGGGTATTATAAACCTAATGTCTTCAGCAACCATTTTTACCAGTGCTCATATTGCAATCTTGCTGTTATCATTGTATGTTTTTACCAGAGCTCATATTGCAACTATGTTGTTATCATTGCTTTTCTCTGGTACTCCTTATTACTGGTTCCCATATTGTATTTATTTCTATGCTTGGTCGGCTCAGGAGATTTTTGTGGCCTAGCATATGTGCTGATTCCTTAAGTTTACGAATTTTCCAATGGTGTTCCTTGTCAAAAAAAGAAGTAGTGATAACATATCTGTGATAGAGCTTCTCTGTCCTTACTTGCCTTAAAGTGTCTTAGTGGCGTTTGGGTGTCATTCGCAGCTAACACGCAACAAGCCATGTACTCTGGACGAACCATCCTCATGTTTTCGTAATCTATTAGTAAGAAGCTCCACTAAAACAGCTTCTTTCCAAGAACAATTACTTTGTCGAACAGACTCTGGAATGGATACTTTCCCGATCACAATAATCTTAACCTCTTCAAGTCTAGGTTTATATGTTATCTCTCCAACATAACCACATAAAATGCACTTCTTAACACCTCATTTTACCCTCATATATCATTCAATAACCTTCTACCATGAGTGGCTGTTGGGTTATGTATTGGCTGAAGATTAGTAAAAAAAAAAACGCAACGGATAATACGAAAAGCTGAGAGAACAAAATATTTAAAATTCTATTAGAATAAGTATTCATAGATGAAATATAGGGAATTTATTTGTCTATTATCTTGATAAGATAGGTGTGATATTAAATTAATATTTACTTGATAGGGTTAAATTCGTGAAATCTAAAGCGCAGGCGATGAAAAATTGTAGCTGTAACTGTATTCTTAAATGTTTTTTTACATTGAAAGTCCGAATGTAAGCCAAATTTAAAAACAACTACACCTGTCAATGTTCAATATTGTGAAAAGAGAATTTCGGTTATTTTACTTGTAAGGTTAAATTTGTCAGTTTTACTCGCTGATTTCGAATATATTGATTCAAGAGCCCGAGGTGAGAATATGGCAAAGATGTGAGAAAACAACAACAAAAAAAAAGAATGACGAACAAATCCAGTTCTTTTACTGTATTGGAAATTTGACATTTTCAGGTAAACATCCAAGAATGAGTAGGTGTTCAACTGTAAAAACCAATTTAGAATCCATTAGAAATTTACTTTACAATTTACTTTAGCTACTCAGTTCAGTCCTCGATTTTCTTTTATATGCTGTGTCCCTTAAAGACGTGAACGATCATAGCTCTCCACAACTTCTGATCATTTACAGATCTAATTAATCTTTGTCCTTTTTATTTTCCCTCCAAGTGTCTGTTCTGCCGTCCATTTGCACAAGGTTGTTACATAGGTTACTCAATCTTACCCTCTGTCTATCTTGCTTTCACTACGCCCTGTGAACATCAAATTCTCCAAGCCCTCTTTCCTCTTTATATGTTCCAGAATTTTCAACTATCTCGTTCTGATTATCAGTACAAATGTCTTTTTTTGTTGTTTTCGTCTTCTTTAAATCTTCTTCACTACTCATATGTTCCGCCCATGGTATTCCCAGCATCCGTCTGTAGAAATGCATCTCTGTTACCTAAATTATCCTCTTCATCTCAGTTTCCTTCTGAGGGGTATGGCTGTGCAGAGGACACTTTCAAAATGAAATGGAATCCATCATAGTTATATTCAATGACAGATGGACCAGGTTAGATTATACCAAGGCGAAGAATGCAACAAATAAATGAAAAAAGAAAACTATCGACGGTGTAGTTAAATGGCAAATAACGCTGACAAAAAATAAAAGACATGGCTACACAGAGGACACTTGTAGAGATAAATCAATTATAATGGTCAAATGAATCAGAACAAGGTGGATATTGATAAAACTCTCCAAAAAGCAATAAATGCCGTTTCTGAAGAGAAAGGTAAGTCACATGTTTAAGGAATATAGCAACCTGGCTCAGAAAAA